TCTTTTGCTGCAATATTATCGAAAAGCTCTTTATTTGGACCTAGGAATCATCAAATTCCTTGGCTATTTGGATCAAGATATTCGGATTAGAAGCCTTCACTGGTCTTCTAATCCCACATTCATTTCAAATTCTTTTGTTTATTTGAATAGCCATTGTTCAACGTTCACATCTCCCCGGACCAGGGCCATCTTCAGCCCCTCGGACACATCGCCCTACTTCCAATACATCCTCCACTGCCTCTCCTCTGCCGTCATCAACAGTATCTCCAGCGCACTGTTCGCCGACTTGCCGCCCAAGTTTGCCGGGAAACGCACCACGAAACACTTCTGTGGCGACCGGGGCTCAGAAAAATTCCTGTTCACCGGCAGCCAGTGGCTGCTTTGCATCTGTTCGCAGTGATTCGCTACTTCCCACCTCGTCCAGTCTTGTTGGCATGACCTCGAGCCTGCCCGTGTCAACCATGCAGACGAGCGGATCTGGTGGACGTGCAGCTACCAGCATGTCGAGACGATCAGACGCAGGAAGAATCACGGCAACTGCACGATCAGGCTTGACGAGTACTGGAACAAGAGTAAGCAGGCGCTTCAAAGTACTTACACTGACACTCGCATTGAAGCTCTCACTCTCTTCAGTAATAGGATGAAAATCTTTGTTTTTGCTTATATTCTATGCTATTCTTATAAGTATTTATGTTTGTTATACAGTTATGTCGTTTGACAACAATAAGCTATAATCATTCTTGATCTACAGTTTATATCAAGATCTAAAAATATTAATAATCTACTAATAGTATTTTTCATATATGAGTATATAACTAATAATAGTATATGAAATGTATTAATTTTATTTCGCTTACTAATAGTAATAGTAGATTTAAAAAGTCATTATAACAATATATAGTTACAGGTCAAAACTTTTGGTGATAAGAAGCTTGATTTTGTCACTCAATTTTACATTATGTTGAACCATGACATTTCGTTTCTTTGAAGTAGATTACATCTTAAGCAGTCGAGCAACCTTATATACAGCGCACCTAACATAAAATATCATGATTTCTCCTGGGTGCAACCTAAGTAGCTTAAATATAGGTCTTTGAATCATCAACTGCATCAGATACGCGGGAGTTTTTAACATTGCCTCCTCTAGTATACCCTTCACGAATTACGCTGTTATTATGCAAAATAGACAAAACTAATTGAAAACCTCTGGAGACAAATGACCTTGCTCATAATATTTTCTTCTGGCCTGCTTTTTTCCACCATTCTGGGCCTGGGTCTGCTAAATAGTTCGATGAAATATTAAGCATCGATATCCTACTCATGCCCAAATGGCTGATTCCCTTTTTAATCTTTGACTAACTGGCTCTTGTCAGCTTCTGAGCCGTCTTCCCTAGCTTTCTTGGAAATAACCCAAACTGAGACAGACAGGGCATTCACTCAGCCATCGCAGTTTAGGTAAGCCACATTTGACTAAAAGCAATTATTAAAGAGTAGTTTGAGCTCGCATTTACGTTTGTGCTGTATACGAATCGTGCTTCTGGGTCTCTTTGGCAGTCAAGGCTTGCCTGCTCAACTGCATAGTGATTTATTGTGTTCATTACTTTTTCTATCAAAGAAACCATAGAATCCACATGACTATTTTGTCTGGCTTCTCACTATTATTACCGACATGGGCCATTAATTAAATTGCTCGCTTTAATTACCTTCCAATCCGCGCCCTGTTAACGCATAGCACACATGCTTGACTTACCATTAAAGTGCCTTCATAAACCCTATTTCTCTTATTATCTCAATCTCCCCAGACATGTGTATCCACCTATCTCTACAGGCATGTAGGTTATATGTTTGTATGTCGCCTGCTAGACTGATTAATCAAGCTTACCAGCCGAATACCGAAAGGTGGAAAGTTCACAATTCCTTCAATTTCCCCCATCTTGAACCCTTTATAATTAATTTACATGATTGCTACCGGAGTTTGATGGAAGACCATGTATGATGTGCGCTAAAAACCCAGGGTATCGAGCACGGCTAAATAAACAAACAATCTTTAAAAGTATGTGTAATATGTTCAGTTCAAACATCCTCCTTCACTACCTTTCACGCGCTGTTATGTTCAGGCACTCAAGCTTAACATTGCAATGTATGTAAGAACAGAAGGTTTATATATTAAAGAAGAATGTACATGTAGCTTAGTAGCAATAGATGATTAGATTTGGCTGCACCTGATGGATATCTCGTTAGTAAGCCTAATCGTTTGGTACCATGAGATTGATCAAAAATTGATGTTGGCCTCAAACCAGAAAAGTGAGAACAGGAGAGAAAATCATTTGAAAACTTGACCCCTCTAAAGGGACTTTCTGATGTCGTGGTTGTGGCCTACGGTTAGTTGTTCTA